GACGGAAACGAGCGAATCATAGAGTACGCAAGCAGATCACTAAACGAGCACGATCGTGGTCTACACTCTAATATGCTCGAGTGCATGGCGCTCCACTGGGCGATCACTGAGAAGTTTTCGGTCTACCTGAGAGGAGGCCCTCGTTTTACAGTGTTCACGGACAACTTCAGCTTGTCATACCTCACTCATCCAGAAGGGAGCCAGCAACCGCAGATTTGCGAGGTGGACGCTCGACTTAGCAGAGTACACCTTCGACGTCAAGCACAAGCCAGGACGCCAGAACTCCGCTGCTGACGCACTCTCGAGGCAGTCGGAACCTGCAGAGGCTTTCGACCAGGGCGTTTCGACCCGAGGCCTCCACTGCTATGCAGTAGTGGTCGGCAAACACAGTCGCCTACGCGAGTTTCAGGAGAGGGATACTGACTGCAAAAGATTTCGGGAGGAGGCCAAGCACAAATCTTCAGACTACGAGATCGAAAACGACATACTGGTGAAGAAATCTCTCGAGGGAGAACGAGTTCGTCGGAGGGTGATCATTCCCGCTGCCCTCCTAAGCAGTGTGATGATCGTTTTCCACGACAACAATGGCCACCTAGGCGTCGAGGAGACAAGAGACCTGACGCAGCGAAAGTACTGGTGGCCATCAATGAGAAAGGACATAAGCGAGTATGTTGACTCCTGCCACACGTGCCAGACTATCAACGCCCGCACGACACGGAATGAAGGTTGCCTCATCCCACGCGATATTCCTACTGAGCCAAACGCGGTGATATCCCTCGATCACATGGGTCCGCTAAACGAGAAGGGAGACCACATCCTCGTGTGTATCGACCACGCCACGAGATACATGGACGCTGTGACCGTACCGAGCACTTCGTCGACGCACTACCTTGACTTCATGACAAACCGGTGGATTCCTCGATTTGGAGTTCCCAGCGTCATTATTACGGACCAAGCCAAGGGATTCGTGAACAAGAAAACCAACCAATTCCATCACAGACTGGGAATTGCTCATCAGAACTCCCCACCGTACTGGCCACAATCAAACGGACTGATTGAGCGAATGGTAGGAACATTGAAACAGGTGCTACGTAAAATGCTAAACAACAAGGACAAATGGCAGAAGGAACTACCCTGAGCAACGCTAGCAATCAACGCCACGAAGCATCGTCACAGTGGCCACAGCCCATTTCGACTCATGCACGGCTACGACCCAAAACTGCCAGGAGAGCTCAACCTCGCCGCAGTCGAGGGAGACATCGACGAGTCTCATAGACTGCACGACTTGGCAAGGGGACGTGTGGAGACAAGGGAGAGGCTACTGCAGAGTCAGCGCAAAACAACGCTCTGATACGACAAGAAGCGGCAAACTCCGAGGTTCATAACGGGGGACCTCGTCCTGCTTGAGCTGAGCGCTTGAGGCACATTAGACCCTCGCTATGAAGGTCCGTTCGAGATAACGGCCCTCGTCGGAGAAACAGGGCCGAGATCTAAAGAGTACCCCACACACCGGGCATGATCAACCAAAAAATTGTCAACGTGGAGTAGCTTCGTAGATATAAGGAGCCGCTCCTAGAAGTTACGGAACCATCGCCATCTAACGACACGCACGCCTGAGGACAGGCGCAATTTTCAGGAGGGCCGTGTCAGCGGCACTCGAGTTCGCACAGCTGAATTCTCCGGCAGCGTCTTATCCTCCGGCAGCGCCTCCTTCTCCGGTAGCGTCTCCGTGCTTGCTCGGGAAACGCTGCACTGCGTTAACGTGGACTCCGAGCCCTGAGCGCGTCCACTCGACGCGGTGGCCCATTGGTTCAACGAACATTCAAAAAAAACAAATGTGAACCTTTGAGCCGGGACCGCATAGCAACGCATCGCCAGAGAGAGGAGAGCGAGCCGAGACGCGAGTGGCGTCGGACGTAGCCGATCGAGCTCCTGCACCGAGTCCAGTTTCCTTATACATGTAACCGCTGCCGATTCACCTGTAACTTAGCACAATACAGTTTTTCTTAGAATTTGAACCTTGCCTTGACTACATTCATTCGCACATCGCTGACACTGTGCATTCCCTTATCATGCTCCACAGCCGTGAGATTTCTGTGCACTAGAGTTGTGACAGTCCCCTTCTCACGAGAAGTACTATACGACTTGTACCCCGATAACTTTGTTGTCTCAAGATTCTCCTGCAGGGTGATGACATCTGGCGCCTCCCTTTTTATCACGAATTGCTGCAAGTTTCCCCCAGTTTCCTACGGTTACTGCGGAAATTCCAATGCCAAATATTGTACTGATTACAAGGTGCCATCTTTGTTTATGAGATCCTCCCCGGTGACCTTGCTGGCTTCTGCTGTGGGTGTTCTGCTATACGATTTAGATTTAACGGGCCCCGCCACAGACGACCAACGTCCTTCAGCGTGCTCTCTATCGCCGATACCCTGTGTTCGAGTGCGTCAAATCATTGCTTTACCTCTACGTACATGCATGTAATTAAGTTTTGCAGTTCATGAAACATTTCTTTAAACATTCTCTTACTGCACTGATAGAAAAGTTGCTGGCTCCTTCTGCTTGTTCTTGTAGCCCTCCTTTTGAGTGGCGGTGACTCCCCGTTCATTTGTGCGGGAACAGATGTTGGAGCTCAATTAGGCGTTGGTATTCTACTAACAGAGGGAGTGTTAGTCATCCTACCCACGTTCCTCACTTCCTGAAGCTTCGCATTTTCTTCTTTTAGTTGCTTAATCTCTTCTTCAAGCGTTAGGTTCTCTCTAGTAATCTGTTCCAACACTTTTTAATCTGCACAATTTCCTGTTCTAAGGTAGACCTCATAACATTAGTTTGAGAGGCAGTGCCGGAGACCACACTTGCAAAGCTCACTTATGCGCTGAACCTCCCTCTGGTGGCTCTCGAGTGGGACCTCGGCCTTGATCTTGATCTGGTTTTCGACAAGGACTCAGACTGTCTTCGACTCTTCCCCAGTAAGCTTTGGGAAGGATGCGGAGTGGTGTCATGCTAGGCCGTTGGCACTTTTTTGCTTGTTAGTGTCCTTGTCCGACTGCTGGCTAGTTGTGTTGTCGTCGTTGTTGTAGCATATGCCAACACCCTTGTACTGGTAGCAAGCTTAAATGCACACTGCCTGTGCCTCCTCCTTGTCTCACCTTGTCCATTCCCAGCAATGTATTCTAACCAGGTATGGTATCTTGTACCTTGCCTTACATCTCTTGTCTCCAGTGGGGTGATCTTTGCCACATAACTGGCATTCCCACTTACAACTGTAATTTTGTGCTGGATTCTTGCTTCCACATCCCCTGCAGAAATCGCAGTGTTTCCTGTAGAGCGTGCACTTAACGAGCATTGCTCCATACCTCACATACCTTGGAACGCGAAGTCCCTCAAGCAGCACAATAATATTGTTCGTGTTTCCCATCCTATTCACATAAGGACTCCTGAGCTACGTTGGGTGAACTAACAGGTTAAGATGTTTTCTGGGCTCTCCTCGTTAGACACCCTTTGAATCAGACCCTTTGATGTGTTCTCCGGGGCTACCCTGTAAGCACAGGTTTCAATTTCCTGCTAACCTATTCATAATTTGGTAATGGCTCCATATTGTCGGGCTAGATCCTTGTATGGTGTACTGATGATGAGTATGTTCTGCGTGTTGTTGATACACATACTGTGTTCCACAGCCATCTCCCGGCGAACCCCCGCAGCGTTGCGCAGGCAGCAATACATGTGATCCATCCTATACTCTGAGACGTGAGGCCCGCCGCGCGGACGTACTGTGGTCTTATAATTTTACGTCGGCAGATTGGGCAGCCAACTCATTTTGATGATTTTTCGAGTGTTCTGCTCATTCTCCCACTTGTTTCCTAGTGCCTTTTCTACAAAGGGCGTCTCTTGCTGCGTATTTCTCGCCGAGCAGGTTTCCCAGTCGACCTGTGTCTTGGCGCGTTTTTGCACTTCGCACCAGCCTGACTCTCTTTCAAACTTTTCCCATGATAAACTTTCCTTGTCCACACTCACGACTTCCATTTCAGCATCAATCGAGCCTCCGAAGATGAGCGAGGGGCCTCGAATAGCTCCGACAGCGCGTTCGGCAGAGCCACACCGCCGCGGCAGTGGAGACACTGGTGTCTAGTTTGGGTCTGCTCAGCTTAGCTACCGCGTTGACGTAGTGATCCTGAAAACACTGTAGTTGATCTCCAAAACTTCCGTCGTCCACTGGTGTGAAAAATGAAGCCAAGAACTTTTATATCATGTCGATAATCATACAAAAAATGCAGAGCTGGTACATTGTGCATCCGCACTCCGTGGCCCCCAAGCGGCAAAACTACACTAGCTCGCATTCAGAAGTTTCGTTTCCGAACTAAAAACAAGCCCAGAGCAGTTCAACTCGTGCTGGCTTCTACATAACGCGTGTACATCTTGCTTGCTGTTCTGCATGTGTGTGATCAAGACGGCGGATGGGAGCCCTTCCACACTTTCTTCTACCTTTCAAAAAAAAAAAAAAAAAAAAAAAGATAACACCGAAAGTGTAACTGCTTGGCTTGGGCGTAATCTGTGTGTTTAAGGTAGGTGCCACGCTGTTAAGCCCTTGCACATATCTTTTGTTCGCCTGGCAGCTAACTTGCAGCTTCGGGTGTCCCTGTATTAAGCTGTGGAGATGATGAAGGCTTTGTGGGTCGTGGTGACGGTTACATGTGTGCAAAACTGTTTCCATCGGGCTGACTTCATTGACGATTTATTCACCAGGTTTACTCAGCCTCACTAACCTGCTACCTTCCGGGCCTATGACTTCTTTGGCCTGTACAGTCGCCCACCATTTATTCGGACTCGACGGAAACCGCCAGAAAGTTGGAATCATCGGGAGTCCGAAAAAATAAACTCACTAAAAAAAGTAATTTTTATTGGTCCGATCACCGGAAAAAACTGTCGGTGCGCGTCTGCACACACGCATGCTTATGCATGACCACGTCGGCCTGTACCTCTGCAAGTGTCTGGCCGTCCCTCTAGACAGATAACAGCAATGATATGGCCTGCGCTAAGTCCGCATTTGATGGCTGTGGTGCAGGTGGCAAGTCATCGTCGTAGTCACGGTCCGCCAGCGCAGGCTCGCAGACCTGACAGACGATCTCGTCATCGGCCAACTCTGCGCAAAGCAAAATGGTACTGTCCAAGTTGGCGAACTCTTCAAACGTACCCGCCCTTACATCAACCCCACTAGCATGGAGGTCGTCCAAAATGTCCGCTGCTGCGGTAGGCGGACCCTCAACCACAGGGTCCTGGTCTGTGGCACTGTCCTTCTCAATCCCAGTAATAAATCCTGCGTGGCGGAAGCAGTTGTAGATCGTTTCCTGAGTCACTGACTTCAAGGCATCGGACAACATGCTGATGGCCATCAGAAAACCCACGACGCAGTTTTTGTTACTGTCGACGCATAACAGCATACTATTCAGGAAGCGTGACCGGCAATTAATTTTCAAGTTTTTGATCATGCCCTGATCCATGGGCTGCAACACGCTTGTTGTGTTAGGTGGCAAAAACTCCACTGTGATAGCTTTCAAGTTGTAGATATACCCATTGGCACCACAGTTGTCGACGAACATCAGCACCTTGCGATTTTGCAGTTTGTACCACCGGTCGAGCTTGCGAAGGTACTGTTCGAAGACGTTTTGCATAATCCACGCCTTCGAATTTGCTTCATACTACACCGGGAGTGATTTGACACCTTTAAAACATCTTGGATTCTTTGATTTTCTTAGCATGAGAGGAAGTTTCTCCGTCGCTGTTATGTTGCTTCCCACAACAACTGTCAGTCGCTCCTTGCTATGCTTCCCCCCCATGAAAGGGTGAGGTCGGCCGCCTTCTACCTGGCGAATCATCTCCGCTTTCTTGACCATCATGAGCTTCTTGTAGCTACCGCATTGGCACCGTTTTTTCACTCTCGACGGTGCAACAACGGGGTGGCATTGGAGCCATTTCAGCATGCCACGGAACACACAAGAGAGCGAAAGCACATAGCACGAGACGAACCAGGCCTAGCCGCAGAAGCAACTGACTGGCACCACTGACATGCTGACAACACTGACACAAACGCCATGGTAAACAGACTTCTCAACTACTTGGCCGCTTGACTGGCTAAAACCAAAAGAATGTGTCGTCAAACATAGCCTTTGAGATCGGCATGTGCGATTTCTGCATGCATCCATCCACTGGCACGACGTCCATCAATAGCTAGTACAGCATATCAGTGCTGGCAACCCAGCAAACGTATTGTTAACGTTGCTGTCAGCTTGTAATGGCATACAGCGACACATCTGGTCAGTCAAACAGTCCGAATAATCGAACGGCGCACAGCCGAGCATTTGAATTTACGGTCGTGAGTTTTCATTAGGTTCAATGGGGCGAGTGGCGGTGCCATGAAGATGTCTGAATAAACGGGCGTGTGCAAATTTTTGGCCTCAGAATAAAAGGTTGGCAACTGTATACTATGCTTGAATACCTGCACAATAAGAAATTCATTTTCTTTTCAAAAGGCCATAATATTGGTCTTAAAAACTGAAAACGTGTCATTGATGACAGCACATTGTGTTACTGATCCAGTAGCCAAGCCAAGCTACATGAAAGTCAACACGGCCAGCTCAGAGTTCATGAAGTACTACATGGTCCTACAGTTGCGATACAATGGCAGGCTTTATAGTGCATTGCATCCCGACACAGCTGTGCCGCGACTGGTAATAACCAATGTTGGAAAGCATGGCTCTGCTGCACGTGAGCGCATTCTCAAGGATTGGCTGCAAGCAACTGCGACCTCTTTTATTGCTAGATATTCCAACTATCAGACCAATGATGCTTGAGCAAGATAACAAAAACAGGCAATTAAGTGTTAAACCTTAGTCATAGCTCTCTAACAAAAAGCCACGTATGCTGTTCATGATCGGGCTTTATTTCACAGAAGCTTAATATTAACAAGCAGACACAAAAGCCGAAATTTGGGCACTAAGCATGGCCTTTGAATGATGCTAAGGAGAGAACAACAGTGACAAATCATTGCTCCAGTTCCAAATGAAAACAATACATGTTTTACAAATCATCAACAACAATTGTGTTATGGAGGGCCGTACACTTAGAAAAATGAGTTTCTCGGTATTGCGTAATATCACAAAGCAAATGAAATCCTAGGTCTGTACAGGGTGCACAAACAACACGTGAAGCACATTTTCATGGCAAGTTCATACACACGCTTATCAATAAATACACTGTCACACACAGAGAGTCTTTGGCAGACTAGAGATGACGCACACCCTCCCTCATAGCGAGGATGGCGACCCTGTGAGGTTGTTGAGCAATTGTCTCAATCATCCAGGGACGAAGGCCAGGCCATAAAAACACACCAAGCAAGTAATGAGGACATTATGTTACAACATGCATGTATACTGCAAAAGATGGCCAGCACCTCACAAGTAGCACAGTATGACCACAAAGAAATGCCACCCTGTCACTTCGATTCGCCAGTGACAGTTTCCGTGCTTTGGCAACACATGGCACACCACAGAGTCAGTCCACTTGTGTTGTGCTCACTGGGACAGCTAGAACCTCCACTGTGTCGGCCGTTCCTTCGGCACCGGCAGCCTCAGCTGACACGACGGGCGCCATGGTGACTTGCATGCCGTGATACATGGACACAGGTATGGTAACCATACCAGACACCGGGAACGCTGCAAGTGCCACAAGCAATTTATTGCCAAGAACGTTGATGGATGACATTTCTACACATAATTACTTAGTCATGTGGCACATGATGCCCCTTGACAAAAAGTGTTCAATATTCACCTCTTTGACTACGAGTTGTTCCAACATTTCAAGGATTGAGTGCACATCATAGTGGAGAGGAAAATGCCTTTCCCTTGTAGCTCAAGTTTCAATGCATCGGACACATACAGTATAGGCCTGCGAGTCCCCAATGCCCGCACTATAACCAAACCAACCTTTTTCAAAGGCCTCAATTGCACAAAATGTTTGAGCATGCAGCCTCGTGTGTCCAGGAATCGAAGTGTGCGACGCGTGGTGCTTTCAACCAATTAAATTTATAAATGTAAAAAAAAATTTTACTTCCAAAGACCCGCGTTGCCAACCAAATGAATGTGATAAGGGTGGGGTTTAGGGGGACGGTCTAACAAAAGAAAGCACCATCGCGAAAATTCTCTCAGATCGCCTCTCTCAGATACTCTCTCAAACCGCCTCGATTATGTGCATTTCACAGAAACTATATCAAATCACATCTGAAATTTCACGTGCTGAAACACACAAATCATTCAATTTCACAGGCGCGCACCCCATTTTAATCACAATCGAATCCCTAACCACCATTCGAGTGCCACCCTCATTTTCATCAGCAATATGTATCCCTTCGCATCAAGTGCAGACACTGCAAAGACTTTCATTGATTCTGTACCAAACCACAACTTAAACAGTGCGCAACCACTACCGAAATGCAACCAACACTGGTTAGGCCTATCCTGCCATTTGGGATGTTGTTGCCGGAAGTTGGGCCAAGACATAAAGATCAGGTGTTGAAAAGATTGCACTCTAGCAATGAACCAAGAAAAGTGGGTGTGATACGGCCGAAACATCAGCGACGATGAAAACTTGCCAAGCTTAGGCAAGACCACGCACAGACAGCAAAGCAAAAGCTCGCGTCATAAAGCCACAAAAGTTTTACATTTACGGATGAGGTAGCAAACATGATATCTGTAGCAAGCAGAACTACAACGACGCTTTTCCCAACAGAAACTCTTAAGTGTAGTTGCCAAGGAAGGGATCACACATTCCATATTGAGTCATGTGCGGCGGGAGCTATGCTAGCGACACTAGTTCGATGCAGCCGCGCCGACACCGGAGCCGAGAAATATCCATCGTCTAGGCAATGGTCCTTTTTCCATTCGGCGAGTGTGCCCAGCGGTGTAAAGCAGCTTAAAATCTAGCTAAATTCGATGTGCAGCGTGACCACACTTACTGTGCATGCGCGTTCGCTCCCCCACTCTCTCCTCTTCTACACTTTCCCCTCTTTCGCCTCGCAACCTCGAGGCAAGAAGTGTCTGCTAAGCTACACTCGCTACCCCCTCTCTTTCATACAGGCCATTTGCTTTTACACCACACTGTGCATGAGACCCCCTTCTCTCTCTCTCTCCTCTCCTATGCTTTTCCTTCTCTTACCTCGCAACCCTGACGCAGGGAGTGTCTGCCAAGCTACACTCGCTACCCCTTCTCTCCTCTAGGCATTCTGCGTTTACACCCCCAATGTACGTGCATAGCCCCTCCCCACCTCTCCTACACTCCCCTTCACTCGCTTCACAATCAGGATGTGGGGAGTGTCTGCTAAGCTACACTCACTACCCTCTCTCTCTTCTCCAGGGAATCCGTGTTTACGCCCCCAATGTGCATGCGTAGCCCCTCCCCACCTCTCTTACACTCCCCCCCTCTCGCCTCGCAATCCCGCATTTGTCCCTAAGATTTTCTGCATTTACTGCATTTGTCTCAAAGATTTTCCGGCAACTGCATTATAACTAATGTTTCATCTTGGGGGACGGAACAATTAGTGGTATGCATATACATGAAGTTCTAGGGGAGGAGAAACGAGAGTAGAAAAAGACTGCATTATAACCGGTCCTGTACTATAGTGATTACGTTACGAGTGGTCCACACTGTAATTTATTGGTTGCGAGTTTAAATCTGACTGATGAAAAGGGGGCTTTTTATTCACTTTAAGGAGAATTGCCACTAGAAAAAAATTCTCTTTTACACGTGAACTGTGGATCGTGTCACATGATTACGGTGCCGGCAATCACCATGCACTTTGAAATCTGCTCCTCTCTCCCTTTCGCTTGCGTGCAGAGCGTGGAGTTGGCAGTGTTTTTTCAAAGTGATCATTTAGTGTAGCCACATTGGTAGGATTCTAGAAGTATCATGCCTTAAAGAAGCCGCAAACTAGCCAGGGGTTGAAATACAGTTGTTGTGAGAAAATTGTGCACGAGTGTACGACGAACACGGAGCCGTGAGAATTTTTCGAAACGGTGCCATAATAATAGTGGAGTTAGACGAGTTTGATTATCAAAACCGCAACTCGGCTCGCTCTGTCCTGTGCTACCCTTCATGGTATCCTCTACCAGAGCCGCTTTGCCCTCTCGCGGGGCGCCCCTTCCATGCCCTTCCCAATCTCGCATGGCATACGTCATTGCTGACGCGCTGCTTGAAACACTGTCGACTTCCGGTTGCCGCAACTCTGTCCGTCGACTCTGTCAGCTGCATTGTAGCTGTGTGCTTGTGGGCGAACCACAGCAGCCGTGCCTATACGAATCGTGCCGGTATGTACCATTCGTTGCACGCACGCCTTTAAAGGACGCCTTCAAAAGACCGCCTTCAAAGGACCGCACGCCTTCAAAAGACACCCGGGCAACACGACGAACAACAAGCCTTGCGGACAGCTGCTTGCAGACTGACCAGACGTGGTAGGCTCTTGCTCGACCAAGCACAGCATATCTAGATCGACGAGTAGCAAATGTTTGAAAGGAGCGTTACGCAGAGGCACGAAAGGCCTGGGAAGAAGGAGGGATTGTTTCTTAGAATTGGTGGCGTGCCGGCGGCTTGTAGCGCTGCCAACACGTAGAATCATTGATAGCGACAGCACTCTGCCCACGATGCATATGAAATGTTTGAAATATATCAGAAGTGGTTTACGGGCCCTTTAATCATGTGCTCGCGAAAAGCCTGCCCCACATGTGCTTTTGAAGCAATGGCACCAATGAAGTGGTGCCACTACAGTGTCGTTTTGCACATGGAGAGAAAACTGCTAGCGCAGCAAGGTTCGGTGTGGAAAGGAACACGTGCTACGGAGTGTGCACTTGTGCAGTAAAAATGCTGGGTTTTCTGCTGATGAAATAAAGTTTGTTTCATTCGGCCTGCATTTGAGACGAGCTTTGTTTTTTGTTTTCTGGCCTTGCGAATTTCAAGGGTTGACCTCGAATTGAGGACAGCCTAGATTCGAGTACATATGGCAAGTGATGCTCCACACAGTTGCGCACAAACCTGCCTGATGGTGCAAGTTTATGTACAACAGCCTTCGCAGTGGATATGCTGCAGAGTAGCAATGCTGTACCCGGTCATAAGCAAATAAATAAATATTGCATCCGTCTGATACTACTGCCATCACACTCATCTAAATTTGAAATTCAATGTTGCAGAAGGAGGGGGGGGGGGGTGAAATGGAAAGCAGAAGTTTTCTGGAATGAGCCCACTGCTTCGTGACCTAGGCCTTCCAGCAAGCAGTGTTCTCAATGCGCCCAAACTCATTGCCAGTGTAGTGAGTTCTGGTGGCTGTTGCTGTGTGCGTGATCTACCTTCATGCTACCTCGACTAAGACGTCTCGTAATAAGTTGTGGTATGATACTCGGTGGAGGTTGCAGGCACCCCTTGCCTCCACCTGGAACTTCTCCTCAAATGATTGTTGCCAGTTCCTTCAAGCGCTACTATGACCGACGCAGCTCACAATCCACCTGAATCTGAATGTGCCTATTACTGTCCATTGTATCAGCCTTAAGCCATTTACCGTAATTACTCGAATCTAACGCGCACCTTTTTTCCGGTTAAGCGAGTTCATGAATCGCATGCGCGTTAGAATCGAGTACGAACGAAAAAATTGCGGTCAATCTATTGCCATCGGCAAATCCAAAATGGCCGCCCCACTACGTGCGTCGGCATGGCGCGTCGGCCATTTCTGTCTATGTGTTTCTCATGTGCGGCACTTCATACGTGTGCTGAGGAGTTTGTCATCTAGTAGTGCATTAGCATCGACGGCGTGGAAGGGCCGACTCCAAAAACTCGAGTGCACCACGATGTCGCTTTTAAAAGAAAAGTCATCGCGTGTGCAGAAACGGACGGAAATCGGGCCGCATCGCGGTCGTTCGGAGTTCTCGAAACGTGCGTGTGGGACCGGCGGAAACAAAAGCAGAAGATTGTCGACAGCAAAGCTTCACGTAAAGGCTTCAGTGGACCACAGCAGGGTCGGTTTCCGCAAACTAAAGAGCTGCTCGGCGAGTATGTGCTTGAGCAGCGAGCGGCACAGCGGCCCATGACGACAGAACTGCTCCAAGTGCGGGCTATGCAATTAGTCTTAGAAAAAGGTCTAATGCGAAGCCAGTTTAAAGCGAGCAGGTGCTGGCTAACTAACTTTATGAAGAGGAAAGGCTTTTCTTTCCGAAGGGGAACATGCATATGCGAAAAGTTTTGCGGAGGAGTACGATGAAAAGCTTCACAGTTTTCAGAGGTTCGTCCTAAACTTGCGGCGCAACAACGGCTACCTGCTTGGGCAAATCGGAAATGCCGATCTGACGCCTCTTTACTTCGACATGCCTGGCACCACAACCGTCGAGAAGAAGGGGGCGAAGCAAGTTCGCGTGCTTACATCGGTCCACGGTAAAACTACAGTGACGGCAATGCTCTGTTACATGTCAGATGGGCACAATCTTCGCCCGTACCTCATATTTAAATGGAAGACGCTCCCGAAAGGAGTCGTTTTTTCGAGTGGTGTGATCATGCGGGCCAGCGAGAAAAATGGGTGCGCGTTGCAATCGATGTTTTTTTTTTTTTTTTTCGCTCTGGAAATTGGGTGCGCGTTACAATCGAGGGCCGCGGTAGAATCGAGTAAATACGGTATTGTCGACTGCATGTTTCTGACCGTGCTCTGCAAGAGCACTTCTCACATTCTTCCTGTGGCAGCAAGTGCTCCCACACAATCCCATCAAAGCTGTGGCTGCCGGGGCTGTTTTGGTCTCGTTTTACGCTTGCCACACTTACCACTCTGGGTGCCATCCTCGCCCGTGAGGATAATCTGGCCGTCGTGGTTGATGGTCGCCTCGGCCAGGGTGGCCACTGCTTGTGCAGCAGCCTCACTGTTCAGCTCCATGTTCACTGCACTGATCGGTGTCACTGCCTGGCCACCCTCGGCATCACCCATCTGCACAACAACATTCAGGCTGCACTCCCATCACACTACGTCTCAATGATGGCAAAAAGCGAGTGACACGTCACCTTTCACACTTCTCCTGGTGATGTTTACCTATGAAGCAGCGCACAGAGACAAGCACAAAAGGAACGAAAGAAACACCACTGCCCTTTCGTTGCTTTTGTGCTTGTCTCTATGCACTGTTTCATAAGTAAAGATGAACTATCACCAACTCGCTCAACTTTCAACGTTACTGTTCCCCTGGCGAGAATGAGGCAGACCTTTTCCAAAAGCTTCCACAAGGCTCTTCCATAGTCTACCAGCGGGTAAGGCATGGCAAACATAGGCATAGCTGCCAACTCTTCTAATTTTCCCCCAAAATATACGAATTTCAACAGTGCTTACGACTTACGAATCTTACCTGAAGTTTCACGAAAAATATTTCATTTCCGATAAAAAAAAAGGAAATTAGTAAAATAGCGTGGCCTCCGCGATTAGCTACGGCGCATTGCCGTAGCTAGTCATGGAGGCCACAAAAACAGAGTTGTGCTACATTCCGCCACCAGGAGAGAACAATATGTATTGGTGTTATCATCACATACCCGCCAAGTCTCCCACATTGTCCAGGAGACTCTCTAATTTCGATGGTTTCTTCCGTTTGTACGGTTGCCATAAAGATCTTCTGGAAATCTAAATTTGTGTGCGAGATGTGACCACATTGACAAAACTGCAGGTCAGTTTGTTCCAGGCTTATTGAGAGCCAACTGCATTTTGTTATAAACTAATTTGAGAGGCGTTCATCTAAACGTACAATAGAGTCTCAGTGCAAAACCGCAGCAGATACGAATTCGCGAATTCTCCTGCCAAATTCATGCGTACATTGGGCCAATAGTACCGAAACCATTGAAAGAGGGCCAACCGTTCGACGAAGGCCGATCGAGAGCAACGTGCTCGAACTTCGGGAGCACCCGTGCGACCAGTGCACCCACTATCTTCTACAGTGCGTGTGGTTGTCATTGCCACAACTGCTGTGGACGAAATCGCAGTAGTTCGACGCGATCATTTATGGTGACGACATTACTGACAGAACTTCGAAAGTGTGCATGGCCAACGCTCGACCAGTCAAAGCAACGCTGCTTTCCGGAAACTCTGTTGGACAAAACCGTGGCAGTTGTGATCATAGATAGCATAAAACAACTTAGTTTTGAAGGCACGTGGATCGAAAACAAAACTACCGTTTGCCACACCCGCTGCGGCAATGTGATCACGATCTATCAGCTCTGAGGATACGTCGCTGACGCAGCAGTAGATTAAAGGCGGTAAAGACGTGAAAAAGGCCAGAAACATTTTGGCATTCCTGTCCTAAGAATCTAGTAGAGAGCAAAGCCCAAGCTCTGACCCACGCTTTTGTGGCAGCCAGATGCGCTGTCCCGTTCGTTCACGTGCGAAGACATACGCGAGTTGTTTTGACAGAATCGATTTTTTGGCTATAGCTGTTTCGATGACGCGAAATTTCGGAAGCATTTGCGCTCCTCCTTTGAGACTCTTACCTTAGTGGGAAACCCTACCTTCGCGTGTGCGGCCATTGCAGCCCATTATGGGACCGCAACACCGATGTTTGCGCTTGTGTTTGGGGACCCTCCCTCCTTTTTTTTGTGCCATGCTTTTTTTTTTTTCTTTTAGTGGCAAAAATTGGGCAAAATAATTCAGCGCGTCAATATGACTTATGGTGGCAAAACATGATTACTGTATTTACTCGCGCAATCCTCGCACTCTCACGATTCTCGCACCCCCCACATCGCTCAACAAAAATACGATTTCTTTTTTCTTCGAGTGATTATCACACCCCCAAAACCTGCCATAATAATGTCGTCTGCACGTTCCAGCCTCTGTTGATGATAACACGCGCCATCTCTTAAGCATCAAGCGTACCATTGCACGGAGATTTAATCCAATCCAAGCCAAGCCATAGGCTGCTTTCAAGTTGAAAGTGATAGAGCATGATGTAAGCAACGGCAACAGGGCCGCCGGTAGGCTTTTCGGAGCATATGAGTTTTGTGTTCGCTACTGGTGACTGCAGCTGAAAGCCACCAAGACGCGTTGGGCCTGCCGTGCCTAAAACTGGGATTGATGGTAAACTTTATTTCTTCAGAAAGAAACTGCAGACGATTCTGTTAAATAGTTATCAGCCCAATACTGACATTCTACGCTTACCTTTTGAGAGCTACTGTTGAGCAACGAAAGCTACTGCCTTGCCCGCAACCCCCACAAGCTTTGCGTATGGTATTCTAATTCTCGACTATTTGCTTGCACTTTTTGTGCCTCAAATAAATCTTTCTTTGTGTTGAAGGTGTGATTTTATTGTTGAGGTAAATATTAATTAGTACGTTTCAAAGCTTGCTGTTAGTTGCTGGTGTGAGAATCCCGATTTGCGGCCACTTCATTTTTTTTTTTTCGCTCTGTACGTTTTCGTGGATAGTTTTCCCCACGTAATTCTCGCACCCCCCAACTTTGCATCGGTTTTCCACCAAAAAAAGTGCGAGGATTATGAGAGTAAATACGGTATGCTTGTTGTTAAAGGCAAATTGATCACGCCTACAAAAAAAAAAAAAAAGCTTCCCCCCTTTGCCCCCTTCCCCAGGGGGTTTTACGAATTTATTTATTGCCAGGTTGGCAGGTACGCATAAAAATAGGTTCTGTATTCTTCTTTCTTATATTGTGTTTTGTTCCTAGGTGTAGTTTTATGTTTGCCATATTTTGAAGAAATTTAATAGTTGGATCAATTTTGACTAGACTCAATATATGGCGGTGTAATCCTAATTTTTGCGCCACCTTACCGTGCTGACAGTGCGGACTTGTGCCTGCGTGCCGTCTGGTAGCGTGAGCAGGGCACTTCCTGGGTCCACGTGGATGATGGAGACTGTGCCGTCAGGGTTGTTGATAGTCTGCACCATTGTGGGTGTGTAGTGGGCAAGCGGGCTGGTGTACAGCGCCTGAAAGGTTACATTTCTTGGGTGAACACTGAGCATTGAGCGCACAGAAAGGCAAGACAACTTATGTGACGCTAATCCAGCCATCTGACTTCAGGAGGGCACTTCTGTTCTGCGCTTCTGGTTAGAGCCTAGCAAGGCAACTTGGTCAAAAGCTATCATCGTTTACGTGGATATTATTGTATCCCCACACAAAAAATCAGTAGAAGAAGCCCAAAAAAAGATGTCACAAAGGCCACTGCAGCTGATAATGTCAACCTCTTGAAACCCATTCTGAAAAAACAGGAGTCGGATCGCCTTTCATTTTTAAAGCTTGTTCGCATTTGGTCAGCGTATTCCTTTTACATTTAGAATGACTGCCTGGTGGGTATTTTGGTATAAAAAGTGCATGATGAAACAAGTGCCAATAAGTACGAAGACTCAGAAAGTACACAGGAAGAGCACTTACAAGCAACTAAAAATTTTAGTTCGAAATGAACACACCTATTTGTGCATAACACACATGCATGCCACCACAAACTACCCTTATTATCACAAAGAACATAAAATAACAAGAGACCACTGATATCATACAACCGGAAAAAACACGTTTTAAGACCCCCCTCCAAACAAAAAAAAAGCCTTGAAAATGGACTGAGTAGCAAATTCAAACCTTGTTAGCAGAACAGCTGAAAACAAGCTGCCAAAATTTTGTCCAACAGTGGAAAGGTTAGCCAAAAATAAAAGAAGGGAGGAAACAGATACATACTGTTCACTAACCTACACTGGGAGATTAGAGAAAGGGGACAAGAAAGATGCAACATAAAACATGGCAGAAGGTATGTGGAGTGCAAGAAAGATGCCGTGCACGGAATTCCTTTCACATCTGGAAAGGAATATATTGGTCAAACAGGTCGTTGCCTGAATGTGCACGTTTGTGAACATGAGAGTTCTCTAAAGGGCGACTCCGTACTCGCTTAGCGATGCACTGCAAGGAGCGCACTAGTCAGCCGAAACTTTTTGACACACAAATAATTGACAAACACAAGAAGCGGATGATGAGAGAAACAATGGAAGCGTTTCGAATTAAGAAAGGAGGTGAGAAGGGTGTCGGTTCTGCTAAGAGATTTGTAATTTGCTTCTTTGGATGTAACATGACTCAGTGCATTTCTTTTCTAATTTTTTTTCTTTTTTTTGGGGGGGGGGGGAGGGCTTAACCCATTTTTTTTTTTCATTTGTATGCTATCGGCTTCTAGTGATTTCTAGTTTTTTGACGTTGTTTGTGATAATAGGGGTGGTGGTGATGTGCATGCATGTTATGCACATATAAGAGTGTTCGTTTCGAAATGAAAATTTTCAGTTGCTAGTAAACCCTCATCCTGTGTCCTTTCCAAGTCTTTGTACTTATTGGCGCTTGTTTAATCACGAACAAATTCCTTTCACCATAAGCCCTCTCAGTTTGTGTGACGGCCCTATGAGTGTTTACACAAACCCACTGATGCATTTTTCATACTAGCACTGATGCTTGGCCTCAGCGAAGGTTTTACAAGAATTTTATATGTCCCACCACTATAATATATTTTACAAGTATACCACTATGAACAAGAACATCCTCTGAGCACTTACACAAACCACGGTTCGTACAGGTTTCCAAAGAAAAAATTAAAGAATATTCAAATACTTTCCAGGTCCTGTTGCAAGCTTTTCAAGGACTTAAAGCGGCATGCTAAGTTGGAATATTTTACTCTAAAGTTCTCAAAAATGGCCAGTTTTATAGCATGTACAATAAATATATGGATATCGCAATCATAAAAAAAAGAGCGTAGTCCTAACTTCTCGCACCCTCTTCCACACTCTCCATAAGCAGAGGGCACGATGCCATGTCAGAAAGTTACGTGCTGATGGGATTCAACGTGCATGTTTAGTTGGACCTTAAAGGGGTCGTGCCACAAATTGGTGGCTAGCGCGCTCTTTGCTGCAGGTTTTAATTATAGCTCCAATAAGCACGATACACGCACCAAGATTCATTTATTCTCGCTATATAATTTGTCACCTTTTTGATATGGACAATTTCAGTTCCTGTTTGTAGGGACTGAGTTGGACAGGTACAAAGCAGTGTAGCTGACTTAGCTGCGCAATCAAAAGGTTCGCATGCGTCATCCTGATTATTGTGAGCTCTCGCACACATGTGCCACACAAGCACTTGCAAAACAAACTCATCGATACCTGCAGAAGGCGCGATACTTTGCCGGTATGTACGGGGCAGAAGTCCGGAGGTCACTCACCTGACTACAAATTTGGTGTGACATCACTAGAACTGTCGTTGCCCTTCTTATAGAGCTACGTCAATGCTGGACGCGCTTGCGATGGGCTTCGATTAGGAGAATGGGCATTTAGGTATACTTAAGAAGCGACTTGAAATATATTCTTAAACCCGCACGGTGGTTGCTATAGCCTTGAAACTTGATGGCACCAGCCCATCAAGAGTGTCGGCTTGAGCACAGTTGACACTCGCAGCACGTTGCTCAATAACCAAGAAGTAAAAACTGTGACAGTGGTTAATTTACACTCATCCTGTGGATACATGTGTGTTCTTTTCTAGCATCCTTCTTGTATGTTTTAGCAGCACGCTTCCAGTGTCACACTGTGACAGTCGTTCATCAACACTCGTCCTGTGCGCTTTCTTTTCGTGCATCCTTCGTACTTGAGCGGTGCGTTGCATGTATGGGGTAGCTTGCCCTTCTTCATGTGACATTTTAATTTCTTGCTATCACATTCACTGCTTCACCCTCACCACAAACTAACTTTTTTTTCACATGAACATTTGAAAAATAAGATCATGTGCACCCACGCTGCATTACTGCTTCAGAAATAAGGAGTTTGACAAGTTGACACACCGATGTATCACATTTAAGCGGTCGCGATGCCGATATGAGAGTGCACAGCTCAGAAAATTCAAGGATTTTCAAGGATGGTAAAAATTTTCAGGACTTCAAGGGCCATGAAAATGCATTCTTCAAATTCAAGGGTTTTCAAGGATTTCAAGGACCTGTACAAACCCTGACAAGCACTGTAGACTCTCGTTGACAACAACTACAGCCTTTTAGGCTTTTGACCATAATGGCAGCCTCTGATGTTGCCTTTCAAAAGCTCAAAAAGGGTGGGAAAATAAGTTAGTCTTATCCAAAGTGTCACTTATCAGAACTGCCGCCAAAAAAACATGCTGACATCCAAATACAATACTCTAAAACAATGAATCAAATAGACATAAAATGGGCAAACAATGACAAAAAAGACTTATTTGGTTCAACCTGAATAAAATTGTGTCCAGGTACTATATTTACACAAACAAAATGAACGCCTATAATCAAGGGATATATCTTGTGTTATATTTTAAGAATAAATACTTCCTTTCACCATGTTTGAGAATTGCAGTTTTCTCTAGTTAGAATAGACCCATTCAGCCTTTACATAAAGGTCTGTTGAAAATAATTGGATATTTTGGAAATAATTGGATTTACAGTAAGCCAAAATCTTCTTCACTATAAAGGCCTCTTGTAACGAGGTTATAATATTCGTTATAGACAGATTTCAGTGCACCTCAATTCTTCGTTTTTTCACTATACAACAACCTCGCCCTCACTCGTATAATCCACTGCCCCAGTTAGAAACTCTGCAGGCACTTATCTCGTTACATTGAAACCTGAATTGACAAAGTCCTGAAAGTTTGCCTCACAAAGAGGTTTTTGCTATATGCATCTTCAGCGTAAAATTCTAAAATAAAAAGCACACAAATAAACAACTAAAAACTGAGGGCAGACATCACCCAAACATTTACGTAGAGGCAAGCCAATGCATTATTTTAACGCAAAAGTGTTTCATACCAGGGTCCATCACGGCTCTGCTGTCATATTTTTGCACAAATATGACGTTGTGAAATACTAAGACATTGCAAAAAAAAAAAAAACAGAAAGAAAAGATCTGTATTGGGGAATTAAACCAGTGACCTCTTGATCCACAAAGCGAGGTGCTAGCGACTAGGCCACAGAGCATACTTTGTCAAACATGCAAAGGGCAAGCCATTTATATACACCATGTACCATTTGGAAATTCCCAGAACTACACAACTTGAGCGCGTTTTCGTCAAAATTAACAAGATGGTGTGAAGAACGAGCATCGCGCCTGTTCTAAAGGTCGTCGCCTCTCGCGTTTTGGAGAGCGCCGCCTCCACGGAGCATGTTCCCTCCTGCACGCGTATCAGAGCTGTGATTTAAGAGAGCGCGAAGGTCACTTCACTCGCTGCCGCCGCTGCACTTTCATAAAGTAAAAATCGTGACAGTTGTTCACACTTGCCCTGAGTACGGTTGAACACTGATATATCGAACTCGAAGGCACTTGCGAATTAGTTTGATATATGAAAAATTTCATATAAAAAATAGAGGCCCCGAGAGCTTACCTGTAGTGGATCATCACCTACAATAGGCGCATTCAAGAATTACAACTAATTTTGTACACATGCTGCAACATAATGATTTATTTGCGTGAAAAAAAATCGATAATCTTGGCCTGCTTCTTTTTTGAAATGTTGACACTAGTCTCGATCCCATCAAAGCTGTCCAGGTGCGACAGCCCGGTTCCCTCAATGTGGCCGATACAAGGACAAACAATGCCGAATGCTGCCGCCACTTCAGCGGCGGAGTACGTGCGCATAGCCAGCACCTCGTCTGGACAATCCTCCTCGTCACATGAGCTCGACATTGTAGTCCGCTTCAACGAAGTGGTCCGGGGACACTTCGTGTGGAACTGCTGCCGGGAAGTGGGGCAAAAACTCGCAAAACACGTTGTCTACGTGCTCGTCGTCGTCGTCTTCACTGATTCACGCAAGTTCTTCCGTCTCGAAGCCTACCTTGCAGAAGCAATTGACCCCTGTGTGCGTCTTCATGCCTCGCCAGGCATTGAAGATCTCTGCGGGAGAAAACTCCGTGGAGATTTCCGGACACTCCTTTTTCATCCACTGCTGGGTG